CTGGCAAGTAAAAGTTTTATTGTTGCCCATCTGGTGCGATGGCTCGGTTGATTAGTCGTCATTATCTTATTCATTTCGGAAGTGACCAAATCGCGCCAAAAGAACGCCATATGGGGCGAGACATAGAAGGGGGTTGTTTTCTTTTTTTCTTTCTACTTGCGCATATATAAATTCCTGTGCCGAAACGGATGTGCCGTTTCCGATTGCTTCTCTCTTTCTGTAGCGCAAGGTGCTTCGAATGTACGTACATACCGATCGGAAAGAAGAATAAGAAGGCACCCCCCACTTGCTAATCAGAGTCGCATCCTGCAAGGTGCACTGCATATAATTGAGGCGCGCGAGCCACCCTGCGAACCTGCACGCGCCACCATATGGTCTGCGCCTGCACGACCCATTGTTTTTGTTTCTCTCGACCAAGTTTTATATTTATTGCTCGGCGATTTCTCCCTTACATGCGCATCGACCCTTTTCTACTTTTCATTTCTTTTGTTGTTTTTGAAAATTTATTGCTTAATCTATTTTATTTTTTAGCTGTAAATTTTCCGGCTTTAATCTCAAAATTTATCATTACTTTCAATATTTTCTTAGAACATCTTTAAAGTGGCCCATGAGCCCTGAGAAAATTAGAATGAATATTTTCAATTGATTCCATATAATTAAATAAATTAATTCATATTTTCAAGCAGCTAATTTTCGATGGACTATTATTTACAATGTTGCAATTATTCTGTCACACGAGTCAGCATTGAAATTATAGATAGAGAATAATTTAATTATACAATTAGAACCAGAAAAGAATCAAAATAATTAAACGGTTTTAACTGTTTATTAGTTAAATTAAATTAAAATAAATTATTTTTTGTTAAATTGTTAAATTTAATAAAAATTAACATAATTATGGTTCCGTTAAAAATAAAAAAATTAAATATCAAATACAAATAAATTTCGCCAAACATCTCTTATAATTAAATGAAAAATTATTATAATTCTATTGCTTTTCAATAGAAAAAATGATTCTTCAATTATCGACACTTTATTTAATTTATTTTGATGAAAAATTAATTGCACATAATCTTATAAATGAATTTTTGGCTTTGAATGATTTATAATTTTGAGTAATTATCTCCATAATTATATTATTTCATAATCATTGAACACAAGTACCTTTTTCCTTTTTTCAGTTTCTGTTTTAAAAAGAGTTCTGCAATAATCTTAGCAATATAATTGAAATGTAAAGTCAATTTTTTTTCTTATGCACTTTATATTTTTTTTTTCTAAGTATCAATATGGTTGCTGCAATTTGGCTTGTCAAACACCATTTTTGAGTGTGACAAAATAATTTCGCGAGTGCGCGCACCTGCCTGTTTTTTCATACGAATTCGGACAGAAAAGGTGCAGCAGCCGAACAGAAGTAAATGTTCGCGAGTCAGGCGCAGCTTAAGGGTTACTTTGGTCGGTCGGTTGGTGCGAGGATAATTTGAGACTGGCTGCGCCGGCCCGCTAGCCACATGGCGATGAGCTCTTTCGGAAAATAGAGCCTGCCACACGCCACTTGATTGAACATCAGCCGCCCTACATTACTCGCGCGTATCTTTTTCGGTACTTTTGCGCCGCGAATCGCATCATCCCAAGAGCTAGGTGGCTGCACCATCATCTGCTCACATCAAAAGCCACCCATCGTGTGTCACTTGCGCTGCTCACGGTGCCACCCTGGAGCAGAGACGAAAAAATTGTCATACGTAAAAAAAAATTGATAAAATTTGAGAAGAGGTGCCAGAATGTTGTCACGGTTATAATCGCTACGTTGTCTTTTTATCTGTTGTATTTTTTTTTAATCAATTTTAAATCTCGCTTAAATTATCTATAATTGAAATTTGATAAATTATCAAAATCTAGGGGATTAAAATATTTCGTTTGCGATTTTTGTAGGAAAAAGACAATAGTTAAAGAATGAGCTTCGTCAGCTTATTATCAAACCGAGTGAATTTAATTTTATTTCTGTGTTATCCATCATTTTTATAAATCGTTTTCATTTTAAGGAATTTGATTTTGGATTAAAATCACAAAAACTTAATTATCTGATTTATTATTTATTTATTCTCCATTAGCTCTTTTGAAATATCAAAGATAATATTTTGCTCAAAATTTTCCTAGCTAAAATCAATAAAAAATATCATCAAATTGACTTTACCCCGCTGTTAAGTTGGAAAAATGAAATTATTTAGAATAGCTAATTGAACTTGTGCTGAGTTTTTGTAAGACGTTTTAAATTAAATTTATCATTTTTTCATTTAAAAAAACATCACGGTCTCATTTTATTAATTCATTTTATTCCTTAATAATAATAAATTTGTTTGAATCGAAAGAGAGGAAAAATTGATAAACACTGAAGGATTTGAAAATTTTATATAAAATATTATAAAAAAAGTATTTAATTTAATCTCATTTTATTAGGAGATGACGACCATCAGAGGGAGCTCAAGGGGTTTCATCTCTTCCTGTTTGCGAATTAGTTTCAGCAATGACGAAGGTCGTGTTACACCGTGCATTTTACATGATGCGTCATTTCAAAGCGGAAGGAAGGATCAAGAATTTGATCAACTCCGAAGCTGCAAAAGTTACGCTCGTCACTTTCGCAAGTTCACTCTTTTCAAGCGTTGAAGTCTTTTTGTTGTGCTGCTGTCTGGCTGGATATACAATGAGAAATTATTATTTCAAATCCGGCAGCAGCAGCCGTAACAGAAGAAGACAAAATAACTTTTCCGACCGACAACAGATGCAAGGCGGGCTGATGGGCACGCGACTGGCGCGGCCCCAAATTTTTAATGCGCCGTTGGGAGGGTCAGTGTAGTAGTTTGTGCGTATCCGAATCTGCAGGTGTGGAGTCGTAAAACGAAGAAGCGAAAGAGAAAAAAAGCAAAAATCCATAAAGTTTCGGTGGGTAAGCCTCTCTCTGTAAAATTTCGGCTGATTTTTTTTTCGTGATGGGCGATAAATGCAAAAGCCGCAAGATCCACTTACGCAAGCCGCTTTTAGGGCTTCGATCGAAAAGTCTTTTATGTTTATTAACTGCCCCTGAGGAAATATCAAAGTCCTGCTGGATCACGTTTCGCTGCCTGATATACTCGAGGTCTTTCGTGTCCTTTGGGGAGATGTTCGGCCGTAGTTCCGCATTAGGTAGTTCACTTCCTCGAGTCAACGTTTTCCCATTCAAATTAGGGCAGGTCTATCATAATATTATAAATTATAAAACTGCCCTGATAGAGAAGCTCGAATGCGTATTTAGAAGCGTCTAAACGTGAGAGGTTGAAATTTGATCCACATTTAACTAACTAGTAAAAACATTTATTGTTATTTTATTGCTATACCATTTACAACAAAGAGAAAAAACTACAAAAATGTATTTTATACAATTTTTTTGCGTAATATGATAAAAAAAAAGAACCACTTATATTTGCTGCCTAAAAACCAGGTTATTTAATTTCATAAACGTCTAAATTCTGCAAAAAAAAAAATAATTACCAGATTTTGTTATTAAAATCTAATTAATATTAATTATATTCATCTAATTTAATATACTTTTTTTTTTTTGCCCAACATTGCTTAACTTGAAAAACCTTTAAAAAAAGGAATCTAATCCATAAAAAATGTAAACAGAGACGAAATTTGGCATCTATTTTTGCATGTATTTTATTAAAATCACCAAATCATGAAATTGACTAGTTCGTTTTGAGTAAAATATTATAATAAGTATTAATAATTATGATGCAATTTGATCTATGAACCTGTCATTTCACTGAATTCGTAGATGTTTTGAGAAAAAATTGTTCATTTTTTAAACATAAATTTGTTTCAACCAAAAATCTGAGTCAAAATTTACCCAGACAAAATATTGACCTGCTATAGTCGGTAAATAAAAAAAATAGTAAAAGTTCAGACAGATATTCAAGTGGCCTTAAAAAATAGGCATAAAAAAACGTGTCTGAAGAATCGTGCAAGTGTAATGATTTTTTTTTTAATTCGGCGGCCAGACGGTTTTTTGCGTTGGAATAGAGTTTAATTGTGAGGCGGGCGCCTCTCTTTTGATTCTTTGATTGAGAGGTGTTTTCGGTAATGAAAATCAAATAACATAGCTTTGGGATTTCTATACCGCTGCTTTTTCTCATCGCGGCGCGAGCGCTAATTATTAGCATGCGGGTGGAATAAAATCCCAATTTGAGGTGTTGAGGTATGTAATTTCACTTGTCAGTCTATGTGTGGTCATGGTCTGAGTGCTGCATGTGGAAGGTCGGCGCCTTTCGCTTTTCGGACGTGGAAAAAATCTGTTCCCACAGCACGCAATTCTGGTCAAAGTGCACGTAAAGATGTATGAAAGTGTCCGAAGGGTGAAATGCGAAACTTTTATACTGCCTCGGCGATGAACTTTAAGGAAATCTGTTATATAATTATTTGAAAGTCTGGCTGGCGACTTAAATTTACACAAAATGGATGCTTAAAGATATTTAAAAAAAAAATTAAGCCACGAATTATGTGCATTTTTTGATCACTTTCTACGAATTCTTTGCATATTTTCAAATTTGGTGTTATTTGATTCCAAATTTATTACTTTTACTTCCGTTTAGTGTTTTTGAATATCAAGACTGGAAATCAAATTTATCAAAATTTATCCAGTGCCAACAGGCTTAGAGAATTTTTAATTAAAAACATCCTCTCAATTCTCCTTTAAAAAAATACGAGATATCAATTTTTTTTATAAAAGTCATCTTGAAACAACTCTTTTGACAAAATTGTATTCATTAAAAAGTTTTATAAAACAGAAAATATAGAAGCAGCTTACGAGTGATTTGTTTCAAAGTGAAAAAGAATTTTCAGTTTATTTAAGGTATTTATTTTTTTAACCAATGTATTTTTCTTTTCAACTACAAATTTTACAATCACTTTTTATTTTTCATGAACGGTCAGTCTGCGAGTTTCATATATTTAAAAGTTTTTTTCCGGCACATTATTTCCAATTTGACATGCGAAGCGCAAAATCGTCCGCGCACATCCGGCATAAATAAAATGTCACAACCGGGAAGAAAGTGAGTCGTCAAAGAGGCCGGCGCGCGCTCTCGGCCCACTGGTCAGTGCAAAAGCTCGTCGAGCGCGGCGATGTAGCTCTGGGCCATCTGGAGGGTCTCGTATTTGGACAGTTGTTTTTCGCTGCCGAGCCCTGGCAAGACGGTTCTCAGTCGGTCAAATGCCGTGTTCAGGTTCAACATGCGCCGCCGTTCACGCGCGTTCGCCGCGAGTCTGCGTTTCTTGACCACGACTGGGTTGGTGGAACGTTTCTTCAGGGAGCCACTCGATCGCCGTCGGCCTGACTTTTTCACAGGGTCGCTCAAATTTTGCGAATCTGAAATCATTGGTTTTATTTTTACTATTTCGTTTTAGTTGAAAACATGTTCAAACATTTTTTACAATTTTTCATGAAATTATTCCAGCTTGAATTTAAAGTTTCTTTTGTATTTGTGTTATTTCCCTTATTAGTATAGTTTATTTTATCAAGAAAATAGCGTAAAACAGCAAATATTTCAAAAGTGATATCAATCATTATATTAAATATAAATTTTAATTTATAAAAATACTAAATATATATTTAATTATTAATTACTTACTTTTCAGACAATCAAAAAGAACGAACACTCAATTACTTAATAATAACCCAATTGTTCAGCACTGACAATGAACCAACAACTCCAACTCCACAAGAATAATTTCTTATAATTAGGTAACATTAATCTGATAAAGCAGAAAATATAATTTATTTTTGTATTGAATTATTTTCTTTACAATATTCTATATTTTCGTCATTAAAAATTAATATGCGGAATAACATAAATATGAATTATTAACAAATAAGATGAAAAATGAATTAAATATTTAAATAAAAATAAACAGTTTTAGTGTTAAATCTATTTTAAATAAAATTTAATATTATAATAATTTAGTATAATGATTAAAGTTTTTACATTTATTTAAAGTAAAATTCTTTACCATCTGAAATGAATGATTCGTTGGAAGCCAAACTGTCCTGCTGGTTCAAAAAGTGTCGCTCCTCGTCTTCGAAATTGAGCATCTCCTGTTGGCCTTGCTGTCCAACCTGAAACGTGTACTGCAGCCTGAAGTGCGTGACATCGTCGAGTTGCCGATTCTGGCAGGGCGACGAGCTGGACGACGGGTCACTCGAGTCGAAAATCATCTCGATCCGACGGTCTAGAAAAAACTGAGACAGACCGAGCCACCCTTGGACTGGTGGTGGCGAAAGGGGCGCGAATTGAATAATGCGGAGAGAGAGGATGTTGTAACGACCGGCGGACGACAAGTGGCACACGCGGTGGGGAGGGATTTCGTACGCATGATTAATTGTTTGTTTTGCATTGTGAAAAAGTGCTTCAGATATGAGCACTTTGTTTGCACAGCAAGTTGGTTATTCACGATTCGGAAGGGGTAGCAAGAGATTAATATTTAATTGACCCGACTTGATTAGCTTTTCCCACAGAGATTTGAAGCTCAGTTTTTTACTTCTTATTAAAAATTACGAAAATAAATTACACGTATTATTTATAATAAATAACAAAAAAAACGTAGTAGAAATTAAAACTGTAATTTTATTGTTGCTTACAAAGTAGGCATTTTATTTATATTATTTTTAATTAAATATGCGTTATTTTCAACACCAACATTATGAAATTCTATTGAAAAAATATGAGATGATTTTTTCAAATTTAAATTTAATCAATTTAATTTGTAAATTTATTAGAATATTTCAAATTTCAATTCCTCTTCTAAATTATTTTTTCTTATTTTTCAACTGATTAAAAAGTTTTTAATTACTTTTGAGGCTTTTGAGAGCACCTGAAAACCTAATTAAAGTTATGCAAATACATGCACGGATTAATTCAGTTTTTGCTCTAATATAATTCGCACTGCAAAAAGTCGAAAGTGCGCCGTAGGTGTTGCTTTCCCGTGGCCGGAGGCGGCGCCCCGCGCGTTAACGAGCGCACCTGAGGAGGCACGCGACAGGGTCAGGTGGCAGGCGCGGTTCCCCCTCTCGTCCCTCGCTCCCTTGCTCCTTCCTCGCTGCACCGCGCACTAACACACATTGCAATTGTTAGTAATACAAGAGAAGTGTGCGTCACGCGGTGATAAGATCGCGACGCCGTCCAAAGCCATTTACGTTCAACTACTCATTCGTACAATTGATGGTTTGCCTATGATCAAAATTAAGAAAATGTTGTATACAAGTTTTAATGAAATTATTTATTGAAATGAAATTTACAAATTATGACGTTCAATTAATTGAAACGTTTTAGATAGCCTTATTTTTAATTTATTGCATTTAAAAAAATTAATATCGACGCAACGGAATCCCTGCTTGCTTTTAACAAAAATAAAAATTATTTAATAAAGTAAAAAAATTAATAATAACAGAATTCTTGTGGTTTTGGCAGTCATTTTCATGCAGAAACGATTGAAGTAAAAATCGGTTCTAAAAAGAAAATATGCAAACATGAAATAAATTACTAATCTGAATTATACTACTTGGAAAGTTATAAATCAATTGAGAATAAAAGTATGAAATTTATTGGAAACTTAAATTTTATTCACACTGCGAAATATCAATTTTAAAGTCAATTCTATTTTTCCAACTTAAGTATGATTGATATTAACTTTTATTCACGAAATTTAACTGAAGCCAATTTTCAGGAAAATTTTTTTTTTTAAGTAAAAAAAAATACAACAATTCTGTTACCCAAATTTTCACAATTAATCAAAAGGATCTAAAATATTTTTTTTACCATTGCCTCTTATCTCAGGTATAAAAATAATACTATTGAATCAATCGAGCACCTCTTATGAATAAAGTGCATTAATTGCAAGAATGCAGTTCTGACTGGGTTAAGCATGAATATGCAACGCGCCCAACACGTTTGCTGCACAGGCTGCAGCGAACGGACAATCTTAAAATTTATTTTCACTCTCTCCGTCGTGCTGGTCAACGAGCTAATGAAATTATTGGAATGATGGTGCAAAAATTGGCTTATTTCTTGAACGCCAGAAAAATAACAAACAAGACCACCTAGGTGGCTGCGCGTCGCTAATTTCACGCGGTAATTCCGCGGGAGAGCAAAGGTGTGAGCACGTGTTCGAAATCATCAGTCCGCAGCACAATGGATGCTTAATTTTACAAAGAATAATGTATGAAGAACGAAAGCTACTTTCTAAAAACTTAATCGGAAGGGGAGAATCGGGCGAGGGGTTGCTGCTGTTTCTATTTTTTTCCATCTCTCGAGCTCAGGTGCTGCTGGATGAGGAATTAGGAATTAAGGCGGTTTAATTGCGACCTCCTCGCAACAGATGTGTAATATGCCGCGACCGCCATTGCTTTTTTCTGATACACGTGCGCCTGCTTTTATCATCATTTATCCCAACAGAGCGTTTATATGAGAGCGTGTGCACTTTTTTATGTGGTTAGATAGACTCGGCTCTCGACTTCTCTCGCCAACTTATCCGGTCGCGCGTTTTTTTGTATGGAAATAAGCGGCCGCAAACTATGAAATGAGATTACGGGTGGAAAAATGAAGACTTTTTTGCTCCGTGTGTGCTTTGAGACTCAACACCTATTATGGTTAAACGGCGCAAAAAATCAATTGCGGCATGAGATGAATTAAGAGAGTAAAATCGGTTTTAGTTTTATCTCTCAAGCATCTCAAAACACGCGAAATTGTAGTACTTTTTCAAGGTGTTTCTTCTTATTTATGGCGTATCAGCATTTTTAAAGGTCGATTCAGTCCTGATTATGAACTTTTTCAAATCTGTTTCAGTGAGTCAGTTAGCCACCCACAAGATGAGTAACCTTAAACTTAACGCTCTTAAAATCTTAATTTAAAATACAAAATCAAGAAAACTTTTTGCAAAAGTAAAAGTTTTTTTAATTGCTGGCGTCATAACTGTCTGATACATTTAGAAAATCTATCAATTTTATATTTTGATTGAGTTTTCCAATTAAATGTTTGCACTACCCATGTGATTTTTTTTATTAAAAATATTACTTTAATGCCAGCCTTTTGGCTGATATTCAACCAAAAGTTTCTCCGTAGTGTGCTTTGCTAGATTAATTTGCGTATCAGCGCGAAAATGCTCGTTGATATTTATAACGAGTGAGTATGAGCGAAAACATGGCAAAAATTATACATTTTTTAAATCAAATTTAAAATTCATAATTCCGAGCAAGCCTTATTTCCGATATTAAATGCAAATGAATGTTACCGTTGACATGCACATAGATTTTTTAAACAGAATTATGATCGGTCACTTAAAATTACTAAATTGAGTCAAATTTTAATTTTGGCACTAAAAAATCGATGCAATTGAAAATTGAACCAAATTATTCCTGTCATTTAAATTATTGATTGGGAAAGCTTAAATGTAACAAAAAAAAATATTTTATTCCGTTGGAACGAGAACAAAGTCATTTTTGCTGGACAAATTCCAAATGATTTTCTGAATTTAATAATTATGAAGCGTCAATTGCTCAGCGTCCAGCATCAGCAACTGCTGCGCAATGAAAAGTAATTTTCTAGAAATTCGAGTCAGGCGATTAAACGCCGAGTTTATTATTTCCTCGGACCTTCCTTTTTTCATGCGAAATCGCCAATTATATTAGACACATTCCATATGGGGGCTCGCATTATTAGCTCTTTTTTGCCGCGGCCGCTCGCTCGCACGCTATCTATATTTTATGGCTGCACGCGTGTTAGACGAGGCAAAATAGCCGCGGCATATTAGCGCGCGACAGCGCGGAAAACGAATATTATTAAAATAATTTGATGGCACTGCGCTGTGCGAGGCTAATAAAATTAGCTGGAAAAATTATGCCTAATTACATTGAATGCGCGAATTGCGCGCGCCCTTTATATCCTCTTGATTCTCTCTCTCTCGTGGAGCTAATTGCTCAATCTTTCGCCGGCTTCGAATTTCAGCCTCATTAAACGCATGTCAGCGGTAATTTTAACTCCTTAAGCATATTTCAAATTCTGAGACGTCTTGCCGAGAGTAATTGACACCGTCAGCGCGCATTGAGTCATGCGATTGTTGCCAAGCACAAAATTTTTTTGGGCAAATATCAAACTGATATAAATTCAAGCCCTTATTAAAGGTAATTCTAAGCTTATCTAAATTGAACTTTTATTAAATAACTAAATTAATTTAGTGTTTAAGTAGAAAAGAACAAAGTATTTTATTATTTTTTTCTCGAAAGATGATATTTCCTACTTAGAAAATTACAATAAATACGGATCATACTTAAGGAGATAATTAGGAACTCATTTCAAACAAATAAATATTTGTGTACAGAGACAACTCGATTCTTTCCAATTGTGCGCCATGGTGCATTATTTGGAATGGAAGCTTGTATTGCTGGAAAATCAGACAGTTAATATTTATTTTACAGATTTTTGTGTATCTTTGATTTTGATTCAAAATATGGACAACAATGAAGATGATCCACCAATTAAAAATTATTTTAGAAATTTGAAGACTATATTCTTTTGGGACAATTTTATCACTTTTTTTACATATTTTCTTGCAGATTTTTTTCATTTCCACACTCAAAAAATTGTGTTTTCTTGAAAATTTTCAAACAAATGGTTATTTTAACAAAAATTAATAAATAAATAAAATAAAGAATGATTTTATAACATTGCTAATGTGATAATTTTATTTTAAATCAATAATATAAGCAGGAATAATTTAATAAAAAAGCGATGCTTCCCGGGACCTCTTTTATTGAAGTTCCAAAACGAGTGCCTAAATACCAGGGATCAATTTTAGATCAACTGATATTCCCATATTATTATTATGATTAAAGTAATCCTCATGTTTGTATCTCAGCATATAAAATATAATTTTTGTTCAAGTAATAATAAAATTAAATAATCACGTTTCAAATTTACAATTATATTTACTTTGCTTTTCAGTTTATAAATTTTCGACGCGTTTTTGCAAAACCTGTCGATTTCTGGAGCAGGAAAAGTAACGATGGGTGAGCAAAAAATTCAATTTCCAACAAAGGGATTAAAATGACATTAGCGCCGTTTTCCTCTTTTTTTGGGTCTGCCGCTCCGTCAGTCCGAATTTGATTCAGCTGCCTTTGCTGCTCGGCAGCGAGTATTAAGTGCACACAAAGACCAAGAAGTG